GATACGAAATCCCCAGCCGCTGCAGAAGAGTCCGACGAAGATACTCTGCACGAAGAGTTTGATCGGGAGCAGACCATAGAGTATGAAGAAGAATACATGGGAAATGCGGCTGAGGATGTCACGACGCATGAGGAGCATATTGAAAGTGACGTTCCCAATGACCAGCAGGTTGAAGAGCCTGCTCACGAGTTGATCGAGGCTACTGAGGAGCCTATGGAGGAGTCTGAAGAAGAATTCAGGGACGATGCCATGGAGGAACCTGCTGATGAGCTAGTCGAGTCTCCAGAGGAGCCCATTAAGGAGCCCAACAACGAGCCTATGGAGGAGCCTATGGAAGAATACACGGAGGAGATGGCCGAAGAATCTGTTAGTGATCCGACCGAGCATATCGATGAGCCTGTTGAGGAACCCATGGAAGAACACGCCGATGAGTCAGTGGAGCCACCCATGGAGGAGACCGAGGAATCTGTCGAAGCAGGAGTGACTGAGCATGCCGAGGAATCCTCTGAACCTCCCATCAAAGAGCTCGTTACCGAGCCTGACGCTGAACTTGTCAGGGAACCGGAAGCTGAGCAGACCCACCCAACGGTTGAAGATGAAGAGACTGGCGGGATGAGTAACGTGCATGAAGCTCAGGAGAACGCCACCGAGTACGCTGAAGATAGTCCAGAGCTCGATGCTGAGGTTTCCGTCCCCGACACTAGAGAGGACACCGTGGAAATGGAAGATATCTCCGTTTCCCTGCCCAAGGACTTTAGCCCGTCAAACCGCAGTGAGACGCGCGAATCTGTCGTTGAAGAAGAGCCTTCAGCCGGGTACGACCAAGGGGATGTTGAGCAACCCGAGCATGAGGCAGAAGAGCGCACTGAGACAACGGACCCGGCAACTGAAACTGCTCCAGGTTCAGCCAACATAGGACTAAGAAGCAGCTTGATTGAAGGCCTTGAGGATGTCTTCGTCGAACGCGCAGCACCCCCCGAGCCTGTCAATGATGACCGTGGTGGCTCGGAGACGGAGGACGACCCGGATATGCTGGAGGCGGCCGACGAAGAGAATGCTGCAGATGCTTTTGACGACTTCGACGACGTGGACGACCAGTACACATTCGATGACAGCGAACCAACGCTCGTGGGGTTCGAACCGACCGAGCGGATCCCACCTAACCTCGTTCCCATTCAGCCATACGAAGTCGAAGAAGCGGAAGATCCTTTCAGCCCTTCGCGTCAGGCTCAGAACGCCTCCAAGCGTGTTCTTTCGCCCGTTCGTATTCTTGAAAGCCCTATCAGGCGAAGCCCTATCAGGCGCAGCGCGAGGAATGCTCCTACACCTGCAGCAACCATGGACAATGGGACGCAAAACAATGCCGACCTCTCGGACCCATTCGTTGAGCACAGTCGTGCAACACCTCGTAGATCTACTCGAGGACTACTTTTCGATAATGCCCCTCGTTTCACACCACTGGCGCAACAGTTTAGACAGTGGAAATCTAACAGCCCTGAGAAGGCGCAGGCGACGCGACCTCGGAGGGGAATCTTCTCTTTGGGAGGCCGCAGGAGGTCTAGCAACGTTACTAGTACTTCTGAGGTTTCATATCCCGATGTATCCAGGCAGGCAGAAGCTTCATCGTCTAAGCCGCAAACTTCGCAGCAAGAGCGGGAAGATGTCGATGTGCCTGAGGTTGCTGGAATTGAAGAGCAGGAGCCTGAAGAAAATGCCGAGCCAGCCCACGAGGAGACCCCAATGCCTGTTTCGCCTGCTGCGCAGGAACAGAGTGAGGATGTCGACGTCCCGGAGTACGATGAGGATCAGGAGCAGGAAGCGGAACCGATCGCTGAGGAGCCAAATCAACCTTCATCAGCTGAGTTGCCAACTCCGCAAGAAGACTTGAATGATGTTGATATGTCTCTACCTGAAGAGCAAGATCAGGATCCGGAACCAGTTGATGAGGAGCCAAGCCCGGAGCAGGCTTCGTTGCCCAACTCGCCTATTCTGGAGGAAGACAGCAATGATGCCGATATGCCTGCTATACATGAAGACGAGCCGTCACAGCCCACTGGCGATATGCCCAGCCAAATGGAGGCTTTGCCGGCTGAACCTGACACTTTGCAGGAAACTGACAAGTCTGCTGATATTCCCGAAATTTACGAAGATGAAGATTCTGGTTCTCAGCAAGCTGGCGATACTGAGACCTTCGAGGAGCCGCTGGAGCGGTCCGCAGAGGTAGTTGAGAGCAGCCAGGAGGCTGTGGCCGACGCAAGCGAGGATAAGGAGAACATGTACGCAGTGCCGTCCGTGCCTGACAATCTCGCTTCTGAGTCGCAGCCAGACAAGGAAAGAGAGCTCGGGGATATTCCCATTCTCGCACCTTCCACTCCGATGAAAAACAGGATTCCTGAGATGCAGACTGTACACACGGTTTCTAAAGTTCCACTCAAGCCCGAAGGCCAGATATCGCCGTTGAAAATGTCGCGCAAGCGTGGTCTTTCGCTCTCCGCCTCTTCCCCAGGGCGCTCCTCGCGACCCCGCATGTCGGCAATTGCACCCGTCGCGCGAAATGCCCCCCAGCTCTCACCTCGCAAATCGCCCCGGCTACAAAGAACCGCTTCGCGCCAGTCACTCGGCCAATCCCATACTCCTGATACAGCTAGAAAACCCATTGAGGCTCAAAGACCTGCACCGCCCAAGCGGCCCTCGTACTCTCCCAGCCCTAAGAAGAAGACGAAAGCGCCTCGCACGAGCATCAATGCTCCCAAGCTGGCTCTACAGGGCTCTGTTGTATATGTGGATGTGCACACAACCGAGGGAGAGGATGCTAGTGGCATCTTCATTGAGCTTCTGCAGCAAATGGGAGCCCGATGCGTGAAGAACTGGTCGTGGAACCCTCGCGCCAGTGTGTCTCCGGAGGAGGGAACAGAGCCCAAAGAGGGCAAGGTGGGAATCACCCATGTCGTCTACAAAGATGGAGGTGTCCGCACTTTGGAGAAGGTCCGACATGCAAGAGGCCTTGTCAAATGTGTTGGAGTCGGCTGGGTCCTTGAGTAAGTTGTTCACTTGTCTGCCATGGATGCAGGTACTAACCTTGCACAGCTGCGAACGTGAGAACAAATGGCTCGATGAGGCACACTACGAAGTCGACCTGTCCATTATCCCCCGTGGTGGTGCTAAGCGTCGCAAGAGCATGGAACCACGCGCTTTGAGCAACGTCAATGGCACTCTTGTCAAGACCGACGCGGCGAGTGCATCTGCAAACCGCAGACGATCTAGCCTTGCTCCTCCCAAAGAATCCATCCCCAGAGATGCGACACCCTCTTCGCGTGATGAGCCATCTACCCCCGACGCCACTCCTAAGATTGGCGCCGGTCACACGGAAGCAGACCAGCAGTACTGCCACACGCCCAAGACTCCGGGCTACACCCTTGACATGGATGCCATTGGCATGTCGCCAGCCACACCTTTCTACCTGTCGCAGCGGACGAAGCTCGTGCAGCAGACCTGTCCTCCGAAGCAGACCCGCCAAGGTCTCTTTACCACGCCGGCTGCGGCACGCGAGCCGAACCAGAAGCTGCGGGCCAAACTGGAGGCAGCTAGACGAAAGAGTATGGCGTATAAGCCGCGAGTGGGGAGTCCCCTTGTTGAGTAGATTTTGGTTGATTTTGTTCGCACCGGATTGGTTGATTTCTGCATGGTTCTGATTACTGGATAATCTGTTTATGGTTATGGTTATACTACATACCCCTTTGTTGTCTAGTGGCGTATGGTTGGATTATAGTAATTGGAATACATTTCATATTCATCTACTTACGTGTATGCTTCAGCTTTGAAGCAAAGTAATCTTGATGATTTACGATGGAGGCATATTCGATATTGATTCGTATTCATCATCATTACAGTCAGACATGATTTGTCGATGCGAGACCAGCTCAGCACTCAACCTACCGCAGTCGTATACTCACAGACCCGGACCAACAGAGACAAAGGCTCTCATGGCGTCCACCACATTCCCATCATGCAATCTTAACAACTCGGTCGCAGTGCTCTTATTCAATTCCAACTCCTCGACCTTGTCCACCGTCGCCATTAGCCTCCACCCAAACAGTTCTCTCAGGTATTGACATACCAAAAGATTCACATCCTCCACCGCCACCTTAACCGCCTTCTTCTTAGCCCCTTCCACCGGAACCCTCTTCTGGGCCTCGACCGGCTTCTGCACGCCACCACGACCAGCACCACCAGTTTGTCCCGAGGCGATCTCCAAGCGACTCATTGCCTGACCCAGAGCTTCCTGGTCTGCAGCGGAGGGAGTGGAGGAGGACTTGGGGGTGTCGGGGGCGATGTGGCTTGGGTTGAGGGCGGAGAGGGCAGCGGCGGCTTTGCGGTCTTCGGCGTTGGTGGGGTGTTGGTGTTGATGGTGTTCATCGGGGTGGGCGGAGGGGATGGAGTCGGACATGGTGATTGATGATACTGATTGATTGATTGATTGATTCGATTGATTCGATTGATGCAGGGTAGATGGGTTTGGAACTGGACTGTCAGACGTTAGTCAGGTCAGGGGCAAACAATGAAGTTAACCAAGTAGCTTAAGTTAGTTAACTATGGGAGATGAGTAGTTAGTAGTATTAAGAGAACACATGACGTCGGAGTTCAATAATAAAATTGGGCATGGCAAAGAGAGCAAATTGCCTGTCTGGGTTAGCGGGACAAGCGTGACTCAAAAGAATCCAAATCCGCGAATAACCGATTTTCTTTTTTTTCTGCATTGAAAGTTAATTTAATTGAGAGTGTAACGTGTTTGTTGTTCTTTGCTTTTCTTTTTATTCTTCAACTTGATTGCTTCTCCTGTTACTTCTTCCTCTATTTTCATCTCTTTTTTCCTTGCTTCGTTGCTGTCATTCATTCATTCATTTCCAAAGAGCGGTGGGGAATCAACATCCACTCTTGACAGCGCCCTAGCGTCGATCAGTCACTAATCACTACTCGCTGCCTCCACCGACTCTGTCACAATGGCGGAGTCAGAATGGTCTCCTAGCTGTGTGTATACCATTCTTTTACTTCCTTTCTTCGAGAGGAAGAAGTGATCCGATGACTGACTCTCATCAGCTTGGGCCTCGAAACCCATCAAGCAGGATGTCATTTATGACGATGCGGCGGGCGTACAAGCCGCACTGGCGAAGCTGCAGAAACTCCCGCCGTTGGTCACGACTCAGGAGGTACGATCTATCGTTTCGTTGAGAGCTGAACAGACAAGCTGATAAACATATAGGTGAATGACTTAAAGAAGAGCTTGAAGAATGTTGCATTGGGAAAGGCCTTTGTACTCCAGGGTGGTGAGTACACGGATTTAGATTCCGCATGACGGCCGGTACTGATACTGTGCAAGGCGACTGCGCGGAGCTGTTCGATTACTGCAATATGGACATGATTGAAGCCAAGGTGAAGCTGCTTCTTCAGATGAGTTTGGTTTTGATTTGGGGTATGTTTCTTACAATTACTATACCAAAACGAATCATGCTAATATCACCCAGGAGCAAACAAGCCTGTCGTTCGTATCGCCCGAATTGCAGGCCAATTCGCCAAGTAAGTCTTCCCTCTCTCTACATAAACAACAACACCAACTAATACCGAACAGACCCCGCTCCAGCCCAATGGAAACCATCGACGGCGTCGAAATGCCCTCCTTCCGCGGCGACAACATCAACGGCTTCGACGCCACCCCCGAATCCCGCAAACCAGACCCGTCCCGGCTGGTCTCAGCCTACTTCCACTCCGCCGCGACACTCAACTACATGCGCGCCTCCCTCTCCTCAGGTCTCGCCGACCTGCACTCCCCTCTAGACTGGGGTCTTGGGCACGTCATCACCCCCTCCATCCGGGAGAAATACACCAAAATCGTCAATCGCGTCAAAGACGCCTTACGATTCATGCAAACCGTCGGCATCGACACCGACCGCGGCGTCGAGACCGTCGACATCTACACCAGCCACGAAGGCCTCCTCCTCGAATACGAACAAAGCCTCCTCCGACACCTCAAGAACCCCGACCCTCCTACCACCTCCACACAGCCCCCCAAATCCTACTACGCCACCTCCTCCCACTTCCTCTGGATCGGCGACCGCACCCGCCAAATCAACGGCGCACACGTCGAATTCTTCCGAGGCATCGCCAACCCCATCGGCATCAAAATCGGCCCTAGCATGACTCCTGCCGAACTCACCTCCCTCCTGGACATCGTCAACCCAACTCGCGAAATCGGCAAAGTCACCCTCATCTCGCGCTACGGCGCAGCAAAGATCTCACAGTACCTGCCCGCCCATATCGCCGCCGTACAAGCCTCGGGACACATCCCCGTCTGGCAATGCGATCCCATGCACGGTAACACGCAGGCCACGCCGTCCGGGGTGAAGACGCGGCATTTCAGCGATATCTTGTCCGAGCTGAAGCAGGCATTGGAGATACATCGCGCGGCGGGATCATTCCTGGGCGGAATGCATTTGGAGCTGACGGGCGAGGCAGTGACGGAGTGTGTGGGTGGTGCTGGGGGCTTGACGGAGGAGGGTTTGAGTGAGCGGTACACGACGTTTTGTGATCCCAGGTTGAACGAGAAGCAGGCGTTGGAGTTGGCGTTCTTGGTGGCGGGGTTTTATAGGGAGTTGGATGAGGAGTTGGCGGAGGATGAGTCTATATAGCCAGCGCAGTTCCCCTTTGGACTAAAATGGAAGTAAGATCTTTATGATAGTATGGAATTAATATACTTCTTTCGGGTTATTGGTAAGCCATAGGATGTGTTGTAGGGGAATCGTTACATTGATAGCTAGTGTTGATCTACTTAACTCCCATAGTACTATTTATCATCTACCACCTTTGCAGTTCGATATCCATACTTATACTACCTCTACTCCATTCCATACTCATAATGAACAACCATGAATAGTAGTCAATGGTATCCATTGCTATATAAAGATGAATAAAGGCCGTCTCGTCTATCATCATAACCTACTGACCCACTCACCCACCCATCCACCCTTTATCCATCTATCCATCTATCCAACCCATATACACACCAACCTCAATGCATATATACACAACTCCCCCATACATACTACTTGGCACTGTTAGCAGACCTCTTCTTCCTCTCAATCCCCCTCCCCTCCCAAATAAACCACAAAACAACCCACCCCACCATCGCCTCCACAGCCAACCCCCACCAAACCCCCCCAACAAAATTCCCCCTCAGGCCCTCACCCAACCCCCAGCCACCCAAAAACGGCCCTAACGTTCTCGCCGCCGACGAAATACTTTGCGAGACGCCATTAATCGTGCCAAGCACCTTCGCATCCGAGACACTATTATTCACTAGGATAACCGCAGCGGGGAGGGCAAACGTCCTCGACACGACCTGCAGTGCGATCACCACGGTAAATGCAGGCCAGACGATGTATGCTGCGCGGGGAAGAAGGAGGAGGAAGGGCATGAGGGCGTATGCGAGGGAGGAAAAGGGTAAGAAAGTGCGGAAGGACCGTAAGGTACCCAGGTAGCCTTGGACCCAGGGGTAGATGAAGATTTGTAAAGGGAGGCCGATGATCCCGATGATGGCGGTGGCGAGACCGACGCGCGAGGAGGGCAGGCCGAGGCCGCCGGAGAAGTGGAACCAGCCGGTTCTGGTGGAGGGAGGGGCGCGCGGGGTGGGGAGGAAGGTGAAGGTGATGGCGTTGAAGGCGGAGGTGTGGAAGGCGAGGAGGAATTGGGCGAGGAGGGTGAGGAGGACGTTGCGGGTGTAGATTTGGCGGAAGGAGGGGCGGGATGATGATGGTGGTGTCTTTGGGGTTGGACGGGAGGAGCGGCTGCTGATGCTGATGCTGCGGCGGTGGTGGGAGGTGTTGTCGATGTAGAGGGATTCGTCGTCGGGGTGTTCGGTTAGACGTTGGTAGTATTTGCTGTCTTTGTGTTTGGTGCGGCGGAGGGCGCGTGAGATCCGGTGTCCGAGTTGACGGCCCCAGTCGCTGCGATGGCGGGCTGTTTCGTGGGTCTGTTGCTTGATGATTAGATGATGGTTTGATGAAGTGGACATTGGTTTGGGGATGGGCGTACCTCGTCTAAGCCGAAGAAGACAGCTAGCAACGAGCAGAAGATGAACACTGCACTGAGCAGGTTTGGTAACAGGAACGGCCATTTGCGCATCCACTCCACCCCATTCGCACCACCGAGGAATGTGCCCGGTCCAAAGATCTGGGGATAGTTCTTGACTGGATCAGCTAGGGCACCGCCCAGCACTGGGCCGATAATGACGCCGATGTTGAAGCACATGGGCAGTAAGAGGAACGCTCGAGATTGATACCTGCATTTGTCAGTGATCTAACCCATCGTAGGAAAGGTACAGGGTATGGACGTACTTCTTCTCCTCGATAATCTCCGCAATCATCGTCCTCATCACACCCACATTACTATTCAACACACCTCCCAGCGTGCGAAACACCGCAGCAGCCACAAACGACCGCGAGAACCCAAATCCCAAGCACGAGATACACGTCCCCAGCGACCCGATCAGCAACACTCTCTTCCTCCCCATCCACTCCGCATCAGCTAGTCGTCCCCACCACACAGCCGTCAGGAACTGCGCCGCAGTGAAACTGCCCTGCAAGATGCCTGCCTGTCCGGAGATAGTCGAGTCCGGTAAGGACGGGTCGAACGACTTGAGCTGGTAGAACATGTACGCTTGCAGGGAGGTCTGGGTGAGTGGCTCTGAGAGACGGGCGATGGTCAGGATAGCGAGTTGGCTCTTTTTCGGTAGTGAGGACCATGTTACGGGTTTCTCGTCGGCGTCGTTGTTGTTTTCTTCGTTGGGGTTGTTGTCGTCTTCGTTCGCGATCAAGTTGGTATCTTCTTCGTGGTCGTCGTCGCTGGAGCTAAAGCTGTCGCTGTCGCTATCACTGAAGCTGCTGTCATCGTCGTCGTCGCTACTGTTGTGATCATCTACTGATAAGCGCTGCGACTGAGAGAATCCGGGCATGGGCGCCGGCGCAAGTATACGGGTCTGCGCCGAGCTGCCGTCGTGGATGGCAGTGTTGACGCTGTCTTGGTCGCCGTCGATGGAGGAATCGACTGACATGGCGGGCGACAAGAATTGGGTGTCCGGATTCTTGCGGAGGCGTGAGGCGTCGGCCTCGGGCGCGGAGATAGCAGCAGTAGTATCTACATGATTGTCGGTGTGGGAGTTGCGGATCTCGGGTGGTTGTGTGGATGTCATATATAGCTAGTGTCGTGCAGAACAGTAGGAGAATCTGGGGAAGCCGTCAGGTACTTCAAAGTCAAGGTTCAACGGAGACGATAAAATCTACGGAAAAAGAAAAGGGTGGGAACAAATCTGGGGAGAAGAAGAAAGTGGATAAGAAGAAAGCCGAAGAGGCGATGAGCCAAAGATTCGCCCGAAGCTTGTCATCCCCGCTAAACCTGCCTCGGGTTTAGTCGCCGCGACTTTGCCGATGCCTGATTCTGTATAGACGAGGATGCGACATGCATATCACTCCCCATTCTTCTCATCCTGCACTGTGTAACACCGCGTCCCTTACATGGCTAGGTACCCCCTACTCAGTTAAACGAACATTGCATGTACGCAAGCATTGACTCATCTGTGCTACCGTTTCAAAACATCCTGATCCAATACCATCCCAGACAGGCAGTACTCAATTCAACAAGGCTAGGCACTCCCTGAAACCGCATCAGAACGCCGTATCCAACACTATTAAGGACAAAGAGAAGAAAAGAAGAAAAGTGAAGAAAGAAATAGGGCGAAGGGCAAGTCCGATCGCATCCCGTTGCGAGATCAACACCTGGACGGAGATCTTATTCAGTCCGTCGACGTCCAAAAACAACCTCAAGCAACAGACACATGAACGAGTCCGAGGACTCTCAAAGACAGTCACACACCACATGCATGGCGGACACATTCCTCGAGGATCAACTCAAAGACCCTGCGCATCATCGCGTTCTCAAAAATCAGGGACATACACAAAGTCAGTCGGAAACCTGATCCGAAAACATTACATCTGCACAAGACTAGGACAGCGTGAGAAAAAAAGAAAGATTTGAAAGACAAGGGGAATAGAGAAAAGTACACTGTTAAAATCACACATGCTCAAGACCAATGTAACAAATCAAGGAAAAGAAAAGAGCGATAGCTCAGTGGTATTCAACTAGTTGCGACGGCTTCCACCAGTCCTGCCCGTCATCTCCAGAGTACTTTCAAACCCCTCCCAAGGAAGCTCATCATCGTCTTCCGAGTCCGGTTCCTTGCGAGAAGACTTGTCCGTGGTGGCGGTGACGTCTGCTGTCCGTCCTGCCGTATCAATTCCAATCGACTGAAGAGTCACTTCCATCTCCTGCTCCGTCATCTCACGGCCATTCTGCTTCTGACCTTCAAGGACGTCGTACAGCGCATAAATCTGGTCGGCCTTCATGTCGATATCCTTCAACAGCTTCTCGATCTTCTCGCCCACAGACTTCCTCTGTCGCTTGCTCAGCGAGGCATCCAGCCTGTTGTACGAGCCCTGGTATGCCACCAGCTGCATCTTCAGGTGGGCCAGCTCATCTTCCAAAGCCTTGAGCACGGTCGCGAGGGCAAGCTCTGGCGATTGCGCGGGGCGCATGGTAGGCTCCTCATTGTAGACAGACGGCTCGGGCATACGCTCCGAAACGGGAACGGGCTTCGGAATCTTCACTGCCTCTGCAGTATGTTCACAAGAGGCACCTGGAATGGACTGCTTGCAGACCGTGCAGTTTTTGCCATTGTGCTTAGTGGCACTGTCAAGTGCACGCTGAGCAGGTTCAGGAAGCTTTGAAAGATTGTTCTCGACCAGATGCGCGGGGTTGAACGTAATATCAGGCAAGATAAAGGCCGAGGTCATCTCTTCGGCCACCCTCCGCCGGCGTCGCTGAGAAGCAGCAGCCCCGGAGTTGTCCGAATGCCGTCTAGGGCGTTCGACAGGCACCGACAAGTTACTTTCTCCTTCAGTCATGCTAGCCTTGGAGTTGGCGGTCAAGTCACCCATGGCCGAGGCGGGTCTAGATGGCAACCCCTTGCTTTCTTTGAGGGAAGACTTTCTGGGAATCGTCGACTTAGCCAGGCTCTGCCGGGTCGTGTTTCCGGTCTCGTTTGCAGTCTGCTCTTTGCTTGTACTCGACTGCCGCCGTTTCCGAGCCAGGCGTTCCTCTTCCAGCGTCTTCCGTAGTTGAGCGATTTCACGTTCCTGAAATCAGAGTAAGTACGGGTGTGCAATGTGGCAAGAACTTGAAAGGCAACTTACATCAACGAAGCTCAGCAGGGTCAAATCCTGCTCCGTTGCATTGGATTTCTTGGTGATTCCAGTGACCTCACCACTCGACTCAACAGGCTCAGTCTCCTCCACCTCTTCGACAACCACCCTCTTGATGCGCTGTTTGCCAGTGTTCGACTGCTTCCTGGTACTCACATCACTGCTCTCCGACCGGCTCTTGGACTTTCCTGATCTCGACTTCGACTTTTCCCTGGTCTGGGGGACGTCGATCGAAAACAGTGCCTCTTCTGCACGCTCCTTTTCAAGCCGGGAAATTTCCTTATCAACCTGGGTCGAGATCTTGGCGCGCGAATCTTCCTGACGTCTAGACTTGGATCGCGAGCTCTTCCCAGTGACCTCGCGGGTGCTTCGGCTCGTATGCTTACTATGCTGCGTATCGATTTGGCTATCCTCGTCGCTTGCATCAGTCATAGAAGACTGCTCTGACTCGACTGTGTCCTCACGTGCTCTGGAGCCTGCGGCCAAGATCTTCGATATCTGCGACTTCAAGTCTGCATTCTCCTGGCGCAGACTCTCATTCTCGCTCTTGAGGTCTTGGCTCTCCAGATATGCAACTCCCAATTGAGACACTGCCATGTCTCGTTCTCGGTTCAGCCGCTTTAAAGTAGATTCCTGAATCTGGGCCTTTCTTTCGATAATGTCGAGTTTGTTTTGCAAAGCCAGGTTGGCGGCATCTAGTTCTGCATACAGAGTTAGCTCAGTATCGCGATGACCAAGATAGAAGTGCTTACTTTGGTTCTCGTTGGCAAGCTGATCTCTTCGGTAGTCATCCTCGTCGGATTCGTAAGGTCGGCTGCGACCATGCTTGTCCTTTGAGCGCTTGTTTGCCCTCAGCGCTTCATTCTCCCGCTTCATATCATCCATCCTCCGTTCGGCGTCAGACTTGGACCTCTCCAATTCTGCAACCTTGTCCTGCAAGAGTCTCAATGAAACGAAGAGTGCCTTTTCATCTTCCGGAATGGGGACAGCATCCAGCGGCATGTGTTCGCGAGTCAAAGAAACATCAGTAGCATCATGCGGAGGGGAGACAAAGCGCGTCGTCCGTGCTCTGTTCTGACGCGCATACACGGGCGTTCCGTCTTCATAGACGCCCGAGACCAACTCAGACAAGTTGGGGAGATCCGGTAGAAGAAATGACTGCTGAGTAGCCGTATCACCTGCATTGTTGGCCAGATTGCGAGAGCTGTTACTGGACTTTCCGCGACGGAGTTCGCGAGCGTAGGCCTCCTGAGAAGCCTTCTCCACCGCATCGGCAATCTGATGAGAGAGGTTGGGGTTTCCAAACCGTGTCGGACGCGTACTGTTGGCCATGACCGGAGGCCTTTCGTCCTCGATTAGGGATCCTTCATAAGTATCGCGAACCTTTGCGTGCATGTCTGACAGCGTTCGTCGCTCTTTGCGGTTCGACTTGGCTGTGTGGGGATCAACGTTCTCCTTATGGGCCAGGCTGGCGCGTCTGATTTGAGCATCCTTTCGGAGACTATCGCTGACCGCTCTTCTCGCCGGGTTCCGCAGAGCAGACTTCTGAGGGGTATTAGAAGTAGGATAGTCGAGTCTGACGGCGGGGGACGACGAGCGAACGCTGTTTTCGATGCTCATGTAGGAGTTTCTCGAGTCGTCCAATCGACGGGGAGGTTTCGTCGGGCCTCGGCCGGCCTCAATGGAGATGCTGTCGTCGTTGTCGGCCTCTTCTTCTTCTTCGGATGTGCCGACCGGGGAAAAATCTGGTAGATATTGCTCGAAGGTGGATGTGTTGAAAGCGTAGTCGGGCTCTTCTTCGTACTCGTGGCGCTTCCTGGCGTTGGTGTGCATGGACGGAAGTCGGGGGCTACCATGACCGAGCTCTTTGGTGGACGCGAGCGCCTCGTGCTCAGGGTCAAAGTCGGAGCCAAACGACGCGAAGCTATTCGTTGTTGCTTCGCGCGACATGTTGCCGGTTGATGTGACGCGCCTTTTGGGGCGGTTTATAGACGGAGTGAAAAATCGAGTACCTCACAGGTATCAAATGGTTAAGCTGACTGAATCAGCAAAGCAAAATTGGAAGTAATCCGCTCGTTGTTCTGAGGCTGCAAGCTGCACGGCGGACAGTCAAATGTTTAGAGAGTCGCTGGTAGCGCGTCGGTGCAGCGCGAGTCTCCCGGCTTGAGGAGGAAGTAGTAGCCAGGGAAACCACCACTGAAAGGAAGGCAGTGCAATTGCCTAGAGAAGACCAAGCCACTGCGGTTTCCGGACTATCGCAGAGGCAGCACAATTGCACGGTAAGACCTGGCTAACCGGCTAGACAACGCAATGGGGACGCGAGTGGATGATGCGACGGAAATAAATGAGGAGGCTGGGCTGGCAACAAGTTACTACGTCCTTGACCCAAGTGGAACTCGCCCGCTGCTTTTGGTTTGTTTACTCCCGTGGGCCCCCCTCCCGTGGACCGCCTGACCGCCTTCCGAGTGCTTACGCCACGAGCCAAGCTGCAGAGATAGATAGTGATTATATCCAATTCATGAATCTTATTCTAGACAACATTTTCGCACGTCGTTATTGAAGCTTTTGCATTGAGATTTTCCATCATATGCTGGAGCGTATAGTATGTGCAGACAGATCCAATAAACACAGTGCCCCCTTTTTTAAATGTACGGGCAGACTGGTGTGGGCTGAGAAAACAAGAAGAGCCGTCCATAGATTCGCCTTCAATAAAACGCCTTGCGGGCTAACATGAATGTCCAAGGGAAAGAAAACTATTGACAGGGTCGGAGAGTAATTAAAACAACCTATATGCTAGTATGTAGGGTCGTAAACGCTTATGCTCGTAACGGGTATTGGAATGCGAGGTCAAAAGGGGCGAGGAATGGCAGCCGTGAATGTAGACCGATGGGTCAGGTCTTCTAGTTGTTGAAAAGACATATCCATAATAGAGAAATCAAGACGCCTAGTGACTATGAGTGTCATCCCTCAAGAGGTGTGTTTCGGCTGATTCAGAAGCAGGGTGTTCTTCGACACGCTCTTCCGTGATGGGTTGAGTGGTGGTGGCAGGTTGTTCGGCGGTTTGTTGCTCTTCCGGCTCCTCCTCCCGCAGAGGATTCGTGGGCGTGGTGGGAGTGTTGCTGATAGGGCTGGCCACATCGATATGGATGGTTGGCAGGGGGGTCAAGTCACGAAGCTGCGGCGCATGCTCGCCCCTCTCCGCGATTGGGCTCGTATAAGGCGGCGCTTCTCCCCATTCCAGGACCTCGTACTCAGGCGGCGGGATGTTGAGTTCACCCACATCACCCTCGTCGACCGTTATTGACGGGCGATCAGCCGAATGAGCAGACGCCGCATGCGATTGCACCTGAGTCAAAGTCTCCGCATCGGAGACGTTGGATACCCCAGACTGATACGACGAGTACGACTCGCCTCGAGAATGAACGCCGGTGAGAATCGATCCTGAGGATCGATCGGGCGCTGATGCATCGGTGAGAAGAGGACGACGGTCCGAATCGGGCGACGTGGCTCTGATACGCGACCCGTCATGCCGCACGTGGCCCAGTTCTGCATAAGAGACACTGGAGATACGCCTATCGCGACCCCGGTTGCGAGATTCCGCCAGAGCCGCGCTGAGGTTTGAACCACTTCCATTGGCAGACGCGCTGCTTCTCGCGCGGGCCCGACTCTCCTGCCGGAGTTCTTCAAGGCGAATATAGTCCCCACGAGCACGAGCCTCCCGGCGCTCCTGTCGCCGCCATTCACGGTCGGCTATCTCCTCTCGCCGTTGCAAACGGATTTGGTAGAGAGACTCCATCAGCTCTTCTCTGCGGGATTCCTCTTCTTCGGCTGTTTCGGGGAACTCGACAACCATGTCCATGCCTGCTCGCTCCCCCTCTCGAGCGATGACCTGCTCCGTTGGCTTGGGACTGGGCGAGTAGGCGGGAAGAGTGATGACCGAGCGAACCGATGTATCCCGTCGAACATTGCTCGTATTGTTGGCGGCCGGGGTGGTAGTTCGCATCTCCGAGCCTCCTTCGGCGGGCGTGTCTCTGGTGTTCGCATTGGGATTATTCGCCCCGGGGACCTGACCGTATGAGACGCCCACGTTCCACCTATTCCATTTGTCCTTAAGGAATTTCCCAGGCACATATTTCGGGCGACAGTTCATGCGACGGAGGGTACGTAAGACGAAATAGGTCATTAAGGCGGATGCCACGGCGAAAATGATGCAAGCGACGCACTGCAATTAGAGGAAAAGATGCATTAGTGACTGCGGGAAACGGAAGAAAGAGAGCACCCACTATTATAATGATATTATTCCTGCTCGAGTTATCATTGTCGGAGGCGTGGTTTTTATCCGGGCTATTATCGGTGGTATTGGTGTTGGTGTTGGGATTGTTGATAATGTTGCCCGGACCATCCTGACGGATGTCAAATTGGCGGAAGTTGACTGGAATGTGCATGCTGTGGATTCCGGGCGATCGGGAATGAGCCCAGATCTATAGCCCCTAAGCATGCAGACCAGCTAGAAAGTCGACGATAGGAGGTATAATCGCAGGCGAAAAGAGGTTTGAAAAACCCGGATCGGAGGCGAACTGGAAATGGTAGCCTAAACCGGGAACGCTGCGGAACTGGCGGATGAACAGTGAAGGTTTGTACTCGGTGGTATGAATGAATAAGAAAAAAGCAAGATAGGCTGCAGAAGGGGGCCTGGTGGGAGATTTGATAAGATATTACGAATCAGACCATAGAATGCGACTGAAATCAACACGAATAGCTAGAGATAGAGCCAGCAATAATGAATGAGATGGTAGATTATGGAGAAGAAGAGACATGCGCGAATCCATGGCCTCAAGCTGTGATGGCTGGGGAAGAAAGGACCAGGAGAGAGAATACGAGCAGGACCGCGGCAAGATTTCAGCGGCTGACTGGTGTCAGAGAATGACGATGCTCATCATTCCAAGACAGGCCTGCAAGTGGTTGTCGAATGGCAAGAGGGGAGGGCCACAGATTGGCGCTGATTGACTGATTGCTGATGCTGATGCTGATGCCGACGAGAAAGTGGCTGGGTCGCTGGCGGAGATAAAATAGCGAATGGATTTTTCCCCAGCCAGAAAGAAGTGACTGATCAGAAGTACGACCCTTGGACGCTTCCAGACTCAGGAGGTCAGATTGATCGTGACACGACACAAGTACGCATCAACAGAGTCTCTATACAAATTAAAAAGGACTCCATCGCACCCTCCCGACTAATTAAAGACGATCTCATTGTGAAACGAGAGGCGCAATACAAATTGAAGCTGCCGGGTTTTCCTTCCCGAACCACCGGCGCGTGCCATTTTTAGAACACGTTCCTTCGCTGCTGGTTTTCTGGTTGGTGTCGGATCAGCGTTGGGGGTTGTTGTTCAGTTGATTTGCTCCAGACGCCTCTCTATCTAGCTTTTAAGTTCGGTCAGCTTTTTGCCTAAGGAAAATTAAGCTCACTTATCATCGCCAGGGTCAACTGAGCACCACCAGGGATGGGGCTGTCATTACGGAGTACCCCATCGGAATAAAGTCCTCCCGGTTTACTAGTTGATCTTGTTAGTTGTTAGTCTCGTTATGGAGTCTCCTCCTGAATCCTGACCCACTCCTCATCTACACCATATTCATGTAGATAGCTGATCTCGCTTTCAGGGCAACAGGTTTCCTGTTATCTTCCATCATGCCAAAAACACGACAGCTCCTTCAGTGAGAAACCACCTATTCTTACACTAAGGAGGATCATCACATTCTTCAACTGTCTTAGTATGAGAAGCACAATATATTCTTTGCTCATCTTTATGCTCACCGAGCTGAATTAAAAAGCCTTGTCCCATTCAACTTAAGTTGTTCGGATGTCTGTCAGATGTTAGACGCTGAAGATTAGTTACATGGTAGTTCCAATGTTTGTATCTCGGCACGGCCAGCACTCAGTGCAAGGCCATGAATCTTTGACTTTCAACACAGGATTGGTGAGGATTATGCCGGGTAACGGAGATGAGAAGGTTAGATGCGATGCAGAACCTAAAATGACTTCGTGAGTACTGTCTTGACATTCCAATCCCGGATATATATACGCTTGGCTCCTCGACAGGTTGGTCAGAGGGTATCGAGTCCGAGCAAATTGGCCGCTTTCCATTGAAACCCACCGGCTTGAAATGAACGAATACCGAGTTGCGTGCATCGTGATTATGGATACTCAACCGTTGACTCATATGACTCAGACGTTCTCACATTCCATGATAATGGCCTCCAATTTCAACCAAATGCAATGAAATAACCTTGGGATTCTGCGATTCAACTATACCCACTTTTTGCGATGAGAACAATATCCATCATTCTTCAAGCGAGAACTTGGTCGAGGGCCATTTATCCCTCTCTAACTGACCTATGTCCGGATACCATATCCGTTGATGATGGCTGGAAAATATCTTGTCCGCTGGACTTAAGAGTGGGCCGGCTATTTGCAGATTGAGATGATTAGAGCCTTTCATCGGCTAAAAAATTTGGGCGTCGATCAGCTAGGGCCATCTGAGTACTACAAGTTCGGAGATAATTCATGAATGCCCTAAAGACCGAAGAGAAAGAGAAGACGGCATTGATGCAAATCTCCGCGCTACTATCGGACATTGTGATATTATCTTGATAATAGGGCCTTTTGTTACCTTATTTTGACTCTCTTCAGGCCATATGGTCTTTTCACAACCGCTGTTCTGCACTGATAATCGAGAATAATCTCTTTCAATCATGTCAATTACGAGGAGAGTGAGCCGTATCGCGAATCAAAAGGTTTCTAGTAAGGAGACGCACGACGAAGACTTAGGCAGGATTGAGGGTGACATTCTCCAGCATGACATCTTGAGACAGTTCTTATAAACTAGTAGTCTTGTATACCTGTAATTTAGCTTAACAATTTGTGGGCCAATAACAAAGCAGCATGCGCACCAATCATCCTGCCTATGAAAGCGCCGTTGGATGCTACCAATCTGTTCAAAACATTCTTATCATTTTACAATATCCGCTCAGGCATCCAGCAAGCAACTACTTGCTAGTAGTACCCAAGCTACCCAGCGTCCCATCCAATCCCATCTCATCCCGCACCGGCCATTGAATCTCGGAGAGTACAGACTACACCAAGTCAAGGGTGATCCTAAGGACAACATGCACAGACAAACCTTCACCCATATTACGCAAGCTCCTTCCCTCTTTCAATCAGGCCTCCATTCCACGCAGTGCTCAATCATAATTCAACGTCGGAGTTAAAACCCTGACCCAACCGTATCCACCCATCCATCCATCTCACTATCCCGGACTTAACCCAATCTTACCTCCGGCAATCCCGAACCTGCCTGGCTAAACCCACTACGCCATGCCATGGGAACCTCGAACTCTACCTACCCACATCAACTGACAGCAACACATAAGCAACCAAGTTCCCCGCTCTTCCTAAAGCTTATCTTTGGGTAGGTCGATCCTAGCGATCAACCTACTCAACATTATCTGCCTCATATCGAGAAAGACAATAGCAGATAAACAGATACCTCAACTACCACCACGTCATATAGATATATATTAGTATCATCATGTCCTGTCCCGACTGCTTCAGCGGCCACGTGAACGAGGACACTACGCCCAGAGGAACAGTCACCACCTTGCATGGCCTGAAAGCATATGTGACGGAGCCGACGTCCACAGAATCCCCCATCAAGGGAATCATCATCATCATTCCGGATGCATTTGGGTGGGAGTTTGTCAATAATCGCATTCTGGCCGATCATTATGCCGATAAGGGAGGGTATAAGGTGTATTTGCCTGAATTCATGAATGGTATGTTTACTCCTGATCATCGATGGAGATGGAAACTATGAGACCTGCAATGTGAAATAGCTATATACTAATATATATAAACTAAATAACCAGGACACGCTGCCCCAGTCTGGAGTCTTAAAACCCTATCCGCAATAATGAAGACCTCATCTATCATGGACTGGATCACGAAACCGTAAGTCTCACATACCTCTCTACCTAGCACAACTACAATGCAATCTCACAACGTATATTACGATGCAGCTACCACATCGCCTGCGCCATGTACGCCATGATCCCCTTCCTATACCACACCAAATTCACTACCTGCTGGCCCACCGTCAAGACATTCTTCACCGCCGTACGACGCAACGAAGGCGCCAACCTCCCCATCGCAGCTGCAGGGTTCTGCTGGGGCGGGTTACACACCGTGTACCTCGCGCACGACAAAGAAGAAGACAAAGTAGATGGCAAATCCCTAATCGATGCCGGGTTCACCGGCCATCCCAGTAATCTGAAGATCCCCGCGGATATCGAGAAGATCAAGATCCCCGTGAGCTTTGCAATGGCAGAGCTGGATAATATGGTGAAAATGCCGCAGATCAAGCAGATTGAGAAAGCCGTCGGAGAGAGGGATGTGGGGGAGGTGAAGGTGTACTACGGGGCTGGACATGGGTTTTGTGTGCGTGCGGATGTGATGGTTAAGGATGTGAAGGCGCAGGCTGAGGAGGCGGAGGATCAGGCGATTGCGTGGTTTCAGAAGCAGTTTGCGAAGGTGTCTTATTGATTTATTTCTGCATTGACTATTGTGGGGAGCGTGCTCTATTATTTTTCTCTCTCTCTCCCTCATACACCCCTTTTCATCCATCCACCTCAGAATCCTCCTCCTCCTCCTCAATCAAAGCCCTTAATTTCCCACCCTGCCGCCGAGCAAGCACCTTATACTTCCCCGCTTCCACCACACGACCCTTGTCAATCACAATAACATTATCCGCAATTTCCATCATATCCCTTGCATGCGTAATGATAAGGACAGTAAGGCCCTTCCGCGTCGCGACCAACCTCTGCACGGTCCGTCGAATGATCTGAGCGTTATTCGGATCAAGGCTGGACGTGGCTTCATCCAGGATAAGAAGCTGTGGCTGTCGCACCAACGCCCGTGCAATTACCAGCCGTTGCGCTTGTCCCCCCGACATACCGGCCCCGCCGTCGCCTATCATGGTGAAGTAGCCCTTGGGCAGGGATGTGATGAATTCGTCGATCCCGGCTGCTTCTGCTGCGGCGCGGATGTGGAACATTGTGCGGAGCGGGGAGTCGTCTTCGAGGCCGTAGCTGATGTTGTCTGCTACTGTGCCGGGGAAGATGGAGGGTCGTTGGGAGACGATGGTGATGAGGGAGCGGAGGGTTGGGGTGTGGATGCGTTGGAGGTCGATTCCGTTGAGGGATATAGGAGAGGTTCTTCTGTCTGTGGAGGAGGAGGTGGTGGTGGTGGTGGGGGCTTCATAGAGATTCAGGAGTAAGGATGCTATTGTGGATTTGCCGGAGCCTGATCGGCCTACGATTGCTGTGCTTTGGTTTCGGGGGATGGTGATGCATACGTCGCGTAGGACGTGTGCGTCCGGGCGGGATGGATAGCAGAAATTTAGGTTGGTGATCTTTACTGGTGCGGCTGTGGTGATTTTGAGAGTGCCCCGGTGTTCGTGGGATGCGCCGCGTGGAAGGTGTGCTAGGCGTAGGACTTGGTTGGCCATTATGTGGGAAACGCTGATCTGGGGGACTAAAGGGGTGTTAGCTGTGGGCGTGGGCAATGGTTGTCGGGTAGGTAGGTGGCTTACTCCATGATAGTACTGTGCTTGCGTAGCCAATGCTGAAGAGAAGGACAGAGAAGACAGTCATGAGGCTGGTGACGGTAAATTCAAGAGATGATACGAGGACAGCTCCGTAATAGAAGATTAGGCCTGCGCAGGTCAGATCTGTGAGAATTTTCAAGGTTTTCATATACAGGTTGCTTACTGCTGACGAATATGATCATGGACTCTACCAGTCCAAAGAGAAAGCCGGTATAGACAGCTTTCTTCACTCCGAGGACCATACATAGTGCCGCGGCCTTCATATGCTTCTTGTGGAAGTAAGGCTCAAGGGTCAATGTGCGGACGGTGCGAATCTGCGAGAATGTCTCGATGAATATCTCCGACGCTGTCGTTTTGACCCCGGTGCAACGTCTCTCCCATATTCCGGTGGTTTTCTCGAGCCCTCTGGTGATGGCATAGATGACTGGTCCGCAAGCCACTGCCACGAGGGTCAGTTTCCAACAAACAGCCATGCACCATATGATAGCCACCACGGTGACTGAAGTAGCCACCAGAACGTAGCCACCGAAATGACCGACCAGGTTTCGCATCTCCTCAGCACTGTGATTGAGGGACGAGGTGAGTTGGGAAGGTTCATTTCCTGCTTCTTCAAACCATTTTCGTGGCTGGTCAAGAATATGTTGGAAACCTCTTTTGCGGAGACGATCAACCCACGCCTGGCCACATAGCTCCAGAAGATAATGCATCAGAAATGATATAACGCCGTCGCCTACGGCTATTCCTAGTACTATCAGTGACCATGTTGAGGCTTTGGCTTGCCTGTTGTAAAACGTCTCAAGGAGCTTCGACAGGCAATAAGAAAACAGCGGAGTAGCCATCGAGTGACCTAGGGTGCTGAAACATCCAAGCAAAAGAAGCAGCTTTTGACCTCGAGTCAGGTTAGGGAGTATGGTCAACATGATCCGGCCTAAAGACATGCTTTCCTGCGGCGCGAGGCGTGCTGCATTCTTGTATGGCCGCTTATTCCGATGCTTTGATCTGGCCCTGTTGATCTCATTGACGACATCATTCACAGGAAGTATACTCTGTCTGAACCGATTGGACTGGAAATTTGTATCATCGACATGGACGGTGTTGAGCTCAAACGTCTGCATTCCAATCGACTCACGACGTGGTCTGAACCTTTGATTGTCTGCAGATTGACGAATACTCTGTATGCTTCTTTTGTAGCCGTGGATAGCATAAGAATGCTGTGCAAGCTCGCTGTTTCGAGAAAATGAATCAGGGCTTGGACCGCGTGTACTCTCAATTGAGGACCTTGAAGAAACACTGGAGCATCGATCAGAAGAACTGTGGACAACGCCATGCTCACTTTCCTCACGATGGAGTTTGTCCGAGGTAGCAAAACACGTATTGCTCTCCTCCAGTTCATGTCTGTAGCCAGCTTGAATAACCGAGCCTTGGTCCATGATGTAGGCAAAGTCGTGATCCATGATTTGCGACATATCATGTGTGATGATGATAGTTGTTTTCCCTCGACGCCATTCCCGGATAGCTTTCGTTATTTCGACGCGGTTGGTGGCATCAAGGGCACTTGTAGGCTCATCCATTATCAATATAGGCGTATCCCTTAACCGCGCCCTTGCAATCGCCACTCTTTGCTTTTGACCACCGCTTAGGAAATCACCACCGTGACCCACGCAAGTGTCGATTCCCTTAGGTAGATCGTCTATTGTGCTTTGTAACCTTGCCAGATCGATACACTCACGTACATCAACCTTGCTGAGTCCTTCATAGTTGCGACTACCAAAGGCGATATTCATGAAGATAGATTCGTTGAACAAAACGCTTCGCTGCTCCAGCAAAGTAATATTGTTCCTTATCCAGTCGATGCTCGGAGATTGGATGGGGGCCCCATCTATCAGAATCTCCCCGGATAGTGGTAAGTAGAAGCGTGTGAGCAGCTGTCCAAGCGTGCTTTTTCCAGATCCACTTCTGCCAATAACGAAGGTTGTCTCTCCGGCGGGAAAGAAAAAGCTTGTCGACTTCAAGACTGGTCTGTTCGGCTGCGCTGGGTAAGCAAAGGAGACCTGATAGACAAGCTATCAATTTATGTACCACACAACTGTTCACGGGTTCATCACACTTACATTGCTGACCTCGATATCGCCTTCGCAAAACTTCGGATAAACGGAACCCCTCCCCTCCCCTCGAACAGTATCCTCTGACTCCGAGCTCAAAGTGTGGATCAGAGAAAGGGCTGCATCCTTTCCTTTTGCTAGGACGTCAATTTGTGGCATAAGGAATTCCATTGACTGGGCAGCTGCTAAGCAAGCCCAGAATGTCCTGAGCACTTCTCCTGCTGAAATCTCACCGGAGGTAGCCAAAGAGCTCCCATACCAAAAGCCCTGCACGAACATTCCGAATGTCATCAGTCGCAATATGGATATTTGTAGAGAGGTTAAGCGCGCGCGTCTGAGATAATGTATAGCGGCATTGTCAACGCTGCTTACGAAGTTTCGGATCTCAGTATCTTGCCCGTTAAAAGACTTGACGCTGTCGATTGATGAAGTAGCATTGTCGACTATCAGCGACAGATGACCCAGTTCTGTCTTCTGTGCTTCCATACACGAGTTCGTCTTATTGGAGAGGAAGGAGAGAGCGGCTGAAAGGAAGGGAATTCCCGCCAAAGTGACCAGAGTAAGATTCCAGGAGGTGAAGAATGCTAGGGCTAGAGAGAAAATGGCTCGAAAACTGTACTGCAAAGCGAGGCCGAGAGGCTGCGAGGTTGCTTTCTGTAGGTCTTCGACTTGCCTGGAAGATTGCGTCAGCTAGGATAGTGGCACACAAGAGTGCGACATACCCCTGGAGAGAAGATAGAAAGACCCTCGTGCCATCCGGCTGCGTTTCGAACCATTCCTGACTCTTCTGTAAAAGCCTTTCGAAGAGCTTGGTGCGTGCATTCGCGACCTGAAGTTCTCCGAATATCACAAATAGAATGAAATAAACACTATTGCAAACCCAATTGATTGCTCCAAGTCCAACCAACTGGACAGCGTATTTGCTGATCTGTGGCGTTAGGTCCTGTTTCGCAACCTTGCCTCCCCCGAACAGTGTGAACGTATTGAATATCTCGCCCAAGAGTACGGAGAATATGGGAACCGAAAGACTAGAAATGGCCGTAAATGTAAAACCTCCTATGAGCACCGGAAGATGTTTCGTTGTTGTGAAGCTGAACAGCGACATCCACCTCGGTTTTCGATGTATGAAGCGCCTGGCGCCAGCAAGGAAGGCTGCCATGATGAACTATACAGACTGATCAAGGCGAAAGATCTTCAATTGAGCATTTGGCCTTCGACTCCAATATTTAGGTGTCGTATAAGAAGACATGATGATGGTAGGAAAGTATGAAGTGCTAGGGCGTCATGTAGAAAAACCTAAGCGAGTGATGAACACCCAACAAACAGGCGTCCAAGTACTTCTTAGCATAATCATCAGAACAAAGAGCTACGTTCGTTTTCATATTAGCCCATCTGGCCGAATATCAAGCACTTTCCATATGCGGGCATATTGTAGAGGAAAGGAACAATGGGTTGCGTTGCCATTGTTCTCGGGTACACCGGAAAAATATAGTGGGTCAACCGCACGTCTTTCTATCCATCACTGCATTCCAAAGCATCAATTCAGCTCGTTATATGTACAGGTATCCACTCCGGTAGTACCACCCTAGGGCGCCCTGTCGAGGGGCTATCCCCACTCTTTTATAGGGTCATATACGCTATGCTGGACCACCCGGATGAGACCTATGGGCCATGGTAGTAAATGATGGCTGTCGAACTCAAAGACTTGAGTCACTGCATAGATTCTAGACGCTAGCAAAGCAAGGACGGTAAAGGCCCGGATGAACCATTCCGTCTAGCCGCCGTTCCTGCACGGCCCAGATAAGAAGCGCAGCTTCAAATTTATTTGTTGGCCTTCTGTGCGCGCTCGTAGATCCAGTCGTTGAGGCCAGCACGGTTTCTGATCCATGTATGAGTATCCAAATGTTTCCAGGGCTTGTTGAAGTGGAAGGACTCACCTAGCGATCTCGATGGCGTAAAACTGCATACGCATGGCTGTCCTTCTGTTAGCTAGCGTTCCAACCCCCAGACAAGCCACACAACCATTTATCACTTACCGAAGATCGTGGTATCTCTGTCGTATTCGACCTTGGGGCTAGCACGCAGCATGGTACCGAAGTTGAAGTCCTCGATAATCTTCTCGTACTGGTTGATCCAGTTGCGCCACTTCTCCTTGCCCTCCTTGCTCTTCATCTTGTCCTCATCGAGCGTCTCGGCAGGGTCGAAGTCGGGGAATTCCTTCTGGAAAGACTCGAGAATCTCATCGTCCATCTTGGTCAGGCGGAGTTTCGAGCCGGGGACCTTCTCCAGAATCGACCAATATGTCATCAGATGTTCCACGGCTGCATAATCGTGAGTCAGGGGACGAGTTCGAATCAGAGATGTCCGGACCAACCCTTAACGGCAAACTGCTTTTCCATCTGCACCAAATTGTCAGCATTCTCGGTCGGAAATCTGAATAGGCAGTCTAGGCGCAAAAGTGACATACATCCTCAAAGTTCTCCGCCGTCTCTGGATCAAAAGGCTTCGACATCTTGGCGGTTGTGTGGGCGATAAATAATTACACAAGAAGCAGACAATATGACAAGAAGAGTGTAAAGGTAGGAAATATGTTCTATTCGCTGGCTAACAGTCAGGGTAGTCGAAAAGAAATCGAAAAGTGAGTTGCCCCGCGCCCGACTTCTTTTTCCCGCAGGCGGAGAGATTTTTGCGCCGCCGCCCTTCAACCCCGCCGCTCGCGATTGGGCCGTACGTCATTTACAGATCTTAAAAACACCACCAGGCTTTTAAGAGTCCGGACTATGTACGCTCTAGTTCATCTACGTTACTGGCATGAATAATTACAATTCAGATTCTCTATTTCGGCCTGCGAATCTATTCAGTTTGCTATCTAGATTGCTCGCTGTCTGAGAAATGCCATGTCCGGCTAACTAATCTGCCTCTGCCGCTTATTAATTGCATAGCAATCCACAGCGATGCTAGATCATACTGGAAAGATCCAGAAATGGCGGACAAACGCGAACGCCACTTAATGCTCTTTTGGTGAACAGTCTTCAATCCAAGTAAGGTTGACGTATTGATTTCAGAGCGTAAGAATCCATCGGAATCGAACAAGGGAAAGAGAATCTCTTATCGGTGGCGGACAGAAATTAAACTATGGTACAGGGAAGCAATGTAAGGAAACGAAGAAGAGCATTATGCCTAATCACTGTCGTCGGAGTCGGGCAACTCTTCGAAACGTCCTTCATGGAGGGCGCGGGTCACAGGATTCTCCACCTGAAGAATGCCGTTCGCTCTGGCTCTGTTACGATACTCAGCATTTATTAGTGCAAGTAGAGAAAGGGTTAGGCTTACCGCTCAAATAGCACAAATAATCTCTCTGCCTCTCTTTCTTTCTCCTCTTTGGTCATAGGAGGACCCTCGTCCTTCTTCTCTGCAGCCCACTTCTGGCCAGTAATGGGGTTGACCTCTGGATCAAAACCGTTCGGGTTGGTTGCGAATGCTTCGCCTGCCGTCTTGGGGATTTCCATGCCGCGAGAAGCTAGTAGCCCTGCAGCGAACCCATATCCGATGTTCTTTGTCAGATTCTCGGCGTCTTTGCCAGAGAGCACAAACATAAGCTCAGAAATAGCAGTCTTCAGGTTAGGGTAGGGCGTGGTCGACAGATTGAGTAACTTCGATGAGAGGGTGTCTGATTGTCCAATCGGGCGGCTTCTATCGTTGTCCTCGGGCAGGAGAAGCCATTGCATATATTTGCGAGGGCCGTCTGGAGCCATCTCATGAATGACCACGAGCGTATGGAACAGGGGTATAGCCTTGGTCTCCAGCTCGTCAGGGCCATATGCGGACACAGCTTGATCCAATATGTTGATCAGCTTGTCGACATTGCAATTCTGATTGAAGGTCGGGAAAAGGGGGCTACTCTCGAAGACTTTGCCCTTCTTATTTTCCAGATCAAGCGTGGACAAGCAATTAAGAAGATAGCTGAGGAGGCCTTCCAGAGGCTTTGGAGGGATATCGATGCGGTTGATTATCTTAAAGATGTGAGGAATCGAAGCCGAGAATGTCGCAGCCAAATCAGAATATATCTTTGAGACATTGAAAATGAGCTTCAAGGTATCAGTAAGGGCCAACTCGTCCATCTGAGACAGAGACTTTTTGCCAGATTTGGGGAATTGTTTGGCATGTCGGACGATTTGCTGGAATCAGTCAGCTTCCATCATATTTCGGTTTTGGCAAGACACGCATTAGCTTACGTAGTTGACATTTTCACCCAGAGAATGGTGTCTGATAAGATTGTCAAAGTCCATTGTGGTGTCATAGGTAGACAGGAACAGGATCCGACTGATCACCATCTCATCCTCCGAGGAATCACACTGATTGAAGGTCAACTTCTGCACGAGCTGGTTGACATAGTGAACGGGTATACCTTGAGCCTCTCAGCTAATTTACCTCCGTAGCCTGTGTCTACGAACAGCTGGCGCATCGATCCATCTAGGAGGAGAGCATTTGCGACGCAGCGTAGAGCGGCACGACGCACATCCGGGGTATCCCCATCAACACCATATCTGGCTAATACCTCTATCCCCTCTTTAGAGTAAATAGGTTGGGCATGGCTGGGGTTGGTCCCGTGCTGCCTCAACTCCAGGAGTGTCTGCACGCGTTCTAAGGCACGCAGGTGACGAGGTCAGACCGGTACATATTACATTCCCTGGGTACTTACCCTTCGAAGTGAGAGACTTCGCCTCAAGGTCCGTTTTGAGAGAGCCCAATAGTTTAGTGACTCGCTGCAGCTTCTCTACTCGCTTGTTAACTGAGGTCTGTACGATGAATTGGCTTGTACGTACCTGGGCCTTGGAGCGGCCTGAAATCCATGGTCAACTTTTGCTTAGCGCAATTCTATGCGCCGGAAGTGAAGTGTGTCAAGGGGTAACTGCTGGCTTGCAATAGCCGTCTTACGGGGCGTGGTGAACCCCTACTAGTCTGTCCAGTAAGTCCCACTTAGCTTGGGCTTGATCAAGTTGCAGCGAAAGCGGGTCTCCGCGATTAAGGGCAGAGTAGTTGGAGAGGCGAAAACCAGTCCCGAGGTTATGGGATTATCTGGAGTATCTTTCTTCGCCGATGGGCTGTAGTGAATTCCGGTGCTGGAAGCAGCGCAACGGATAAGGATAGGAGCTAATGTTGCGCTGATGAATAGAGATCCGCAGCGCAATAAAGCAGAACCCCACCGGATAGCACTAAGCGGCTGCACAGTATCTCCGCAGTCTGTACATGCAGCAATGGTGTTAGACATAAGGTTGACGAGACGGACATAAATCGATGCATGCAGTCTGTGGTTAGTAGTTAAGTAGATGAAACTTACATTGACAACTCGTTCTGGGTTCGAAAACAACCAACGTGAATGGGGGAAACGAGAAAATTGAAGATAATAACTAAAGAATTGGGGGGTGGGCAGCTCCGGTTCATCTCCGAAGCCTTCTCCGTGGTGCCTGAGTGCCTTACTGCCTTGGGCATGAAACGCGGCGCTGCCACTTTACGCGTGGCTCAGCCACAGGCGCGTCTTTTTGAGTTGCGTGGCTTGGCGCGGCCCCGGTAGGATCAAACTGGCACGGCTATCCTACTTTCACCAGGGCTTTGATCCTTGCTCATGCTTGTCGACAGCTTCGGTCTGGGTCATGGACAGCGTGGTTTCTAGCTAGGCTGTATCGCGATGTTCCTTCTCCTTCTTTCATTCTTGTCCCCGTTCTTTTCGTCGTCCGATTCTGTGAAATATGGTGGAGGTTCTTGGTCCTCTGTCTGCTCGTCCGCCTACTCCACCTAGGACATCATCTCGTATGCTGTCTGAAAATGATCGAACTGAAGATTCTCCGGTTGTTGTACACACGCCACGCGACTCTCCCTTTTCCGTCAATGGCTCAACTGGTGTTCCGTCAAGTCGACAATCCAAGCGCGTGAACTTCTCACCATGGACAAGATACATCAAACCTCCCTCGTTCACCAATTCCGCCGCGAAATCCAAATCTGACCTCAAGTCCCTGCCTCCCTCGAACGAATGCAAACCTACAAAATCTATCCTCAAACCGACCACATCTCACTCTGCTACCAATTCGCCGTCTGCTGAACCTCAAGCTCCCATTTCCTTCGCCATGCTTCTAGAGTCGATCTTACAACAGCTCGCTGGAGAGGCTGTCAGTTCAAGGCTCGACGCCTACATGCAGTTCTTCGGGGCCCTGAGAGCATATGACAATCTGCCTGGTGATCAAGAAATCATAGCGAGGTTGGGCTTGATCACTCAATTCATACATCGGGACGTTAGCCGGGACTTGACAACCGGCGGACCGCTACATACCAACCTTGTAATACAGGCCCTTAAGTTGGCTGTTGCACTGGTCTGGCATAGTGAGATCTCTGCGCGTCTGCCAGATGACTTCAAGACTTTTCTCGTCGATCATTCCGTCAACTGCCTACAAGATGTGAAGATGCCAAAGTCTGTGGTAACTCACTACTTGTCCGTATTGTCAACCCAGAACTTTAACGCCAAGGTCATGACGAACACGCGAATAATACGCATTTTGACGGTTCTCCATGAATTGACTAATCGCGTCACTGGAAGCGCAATTGTGTCCCAGCGTTTAAGCATCTATCTTCGTGTCCTCAACCAATCTAAGATGATCTTCGTCTCAAATGCATCCCTGTGGATGGATCATCTCATATCCGGCTTGCTACACCATGTCAAAGATATCAGGATCAAGGCTATTTCGGTGGGCTTTCAGACCGCTATAGCGTGCGGACCGAACCCAACCTTGTCGAAATGCGTCCGTGAGGTCTTCAGCAGACCTCTCGATGAGCGGAGGAAGCTTGTGACGGAAGTTTGCGAGCGAATGACGCGCATGATGGCACTTTCTGATTGCGGAGTCCACATACCTCAGATATGGAGTGTGATTATTCTACTCCTGCGCAGCAAAAAGTTCAACGTCGATCAGTGGGAGCATTTCAAAGAATGGGTCCTTGTGCTGCAGAGATGCTTCAATTGCAGTGATTCTGCAATCAAAGCGCAGGCCATCGTTGGCTGGAATCGGTTTGTTTATGTCGTCAGTCCCAGCGACACAACAAGCCCTTCGTTATTGCGGATGCTGAGCAAGCCCATCGTCTCTCAGTTCGATCGGAAGAAGCAAGACAAACAACCCAGTCAGCTAGCCTTGTGCAGCTACTATAATCTTCTTTATTACGCCTTCCGTCCCTCGGCATCATTTCAGCATCTTGATGTCGTCTGGGAAGAATATGTCGCTTCACCGGCTTCGAGCATCTTTTCGTCTGTACCCAGTCTCAGCGACAGGGTAGCCCACGTTCTATCCAATATGCTCTGGAGCCCTCAAGCGAAGGTTTGGTTGGAGAACAAGGTCAATGAGAGCAACAAGCTGGACCCTGAAGAATTGCCATCCATTGACAGTAGGTGGATTCGGTCGAGGATAACATCGGTTTTGAGCGTTTTTGAGGAGATCTTCAAGTCTTCTGTCTGGAATCCCGATATTGAGCGGTCGAATATTGCTACAGCCTGGATCGGCTTGTCCAAGGCCTTGTCACATGCGTCGAGCAAAGAGATTACGCCCACGCCAGAATCGATGCAAGCTGTAGCACACGTGCTTGGCCTTCTTCAGCGCCTCTGGAACGCCGGGCCCTCATCGCTCAATGCGGCTATCGAGAAGAACTCAACGGATGCCTTCTATGACCAGTTCAGCTTTCTTGCCACCACTATGATCTACAGTCTTGGTAGCGCACGGTTTACCGAGAAATTACTCCTCAAGACAGCCGATGAGACTTTCCAGGCTGCTACTACGCCTACGCATCGTCATCAAAAGGCCCATACAAGTCTAGACAGTCCCATCCTACATTTTCTTCGATTTATCAGTGAACTACCTGGTCATTCGAGGCCTTCCCCGTCATATTCGCGCCTCGTTACCCGTGTTCTGGAAGCTACTTGCAGTGACAAGCTATCAAGGAGCTCACGTCTGGAATTCTTTAGCCAATGCGCAGATATACATGTGTTTGATGCGGCTGCTCATATTGGCGATGATAGTCTAGCTGAAACCGTGTGGAGGTCTGTGGCACAGCTGTCTGCAAGCTCTTTATCCTCTTTCCCTATGGAGACGGCTCGCGAACGTGACGGCTCAGTTTGCCGTGACTATGAGAACATTGTTAACATCCTTTCTGCCGGCTTGAAGTTCTCCGACGTGTTCGAAGTCTGGAATCCGCTTGTTGATTCTCTTATCCGCGTCGTGAGAACCGAAAAGGGTGATCGGGCTATTTCCACCATGGCCATGGAACCTCTTGCCGCATCTATCATAGAACAAGGGACACGGAATACCTGCAAGCCCTCCGCATCACTCTTGAAACTCTCGCTCTCAATTCCTTACGGCCACGAGGCGGAGACGGCAAAAGGAACTCATGAAATGGCCTTCCCTCACAAGCTGATCGAACTCGTGGATAAGACTCTTCGTCAGTCGTACGAAAGCTTTGATCCTGTCGAACCAAACGGCATTGCAGATTTCATCGAGTGCCTGACGTCTCTACTGGGATCGGGTGTACCTACTTTCCGTACAGCAATGCTCACACACCTCCAGCAGTCCCTTGCATTTTATCTCAAAGACGGGGAGCGCAAGATAAACGCCGAGAGTGGCGTGGAAAGCAGAATCCTTACTGCTGTAAGTGTATGAAGCAAGGGGCTCGTGTTACGTACTAACTTAGAATTAGTGTCGCGCGCTGTCGTCAGCCGTCTTGAACATCTTGCAAGCAGCACAACCTCACGACGCCTTCTGTGTACAAAAGTTCGAGCCTATAATCTGTGCGGGTCTTGAGTCCACACATGCCTCTGTAACAAAACGATTCCTTGACTTCTGGCGTTGTTCGTTTGGATCACAAGAGTCCTTGCCCTGCCCCGAGACGATATCTCGCGCGCTACACGATATTGAAGTCCAGATGAAGCTTCAGCAGCCGCATGGTCATCGGCAAAATTTACAGGTATGTATTCTGATCAAAGTTCCATCCTGCCCTGCTAAGAAATTCTAGTCCGAGGCACAATCTGATCGTCAAGACGCAAAGGCCATTCCAGTCGATACATCGGTCAAGTCTCGCATTGCTTTCATACTTGATGATCCATTCACATTGGGGCTGAACTCGTCGCCTATAACCGGAGGGTCTGAGCGTAAAGCCATGCCTACGTCTTCGGAGAAGCAGACCGGACATTCAGCAGGCCAAGTATCTCAAATCGACGATGACTCTGATCCGGATGTGGCCACGGGTCATTCGATGCCCCTCCCGACGGGATCGGGAGACCCTAGGAAGCGTAGCGAGTTGTTTTCGATCATTGAAAGCCTTCGTTCGTCTTCACCTCCGACGAATACTCCAAGAGAACTTGGTTTCATGACGCCCCCGCACTTGCGCGACCTGCGCAACGCGGATGCCGACGCCGGGACTCCACAAACCCCGACCCTACCACCTGTCGCCACTGACAATGAATATGGGTTTCTCGGTTCTTCCCCTACGCCGGGTACTCGAAGCCGAACGCAATTGAGCGAACCCGAGATACCTCAGTCGCTGTCGACTCCAGCAGCAGAAGAGTCTGTTCTAGAAAACGAACTTCAATCCTCCCCTCCAAAGCTGAAATCGACCAGTCCTGAACCTCGAAGTAACACAGGAAACATGGCCACACCAGGATCAGGGAACACTACGTCGAGCAGGAGCAGAAGATCGAAGAGGAGGGCCCGGCGTTCGTCAAGGCAGAAGAAGGCAATGAACGCTCAGTCCAGTCAACCGGAAGCGACTGATGAAAGCATAGCAGTTGATTCAGAGGAGCCACTGACAAAGCGTCTCCGTTCATCGACAGGCAAATTGCCAGAAGACAAAAGTCTCTCCACTGAAGACAGGCAATCGAAGGATTCGTCAAAGGATGGTCCTCGTGACGCCGGGCTTTCCCAAGACCCTGTTACGGATTCTGGTGCTACCGAGGAGCCTGTCATCGAGCCAGAGCACCAGGTCAATGCTGAGCAACCGAAAGACAAAGAAAAACAATCAATAGACGGCTACGACTATATAGCGGACTCATGCAGCGACGACATGGAGACCCAGGTTGCGTCTCAGTTGGAGCAGGATCTAGAACTCGCTGTAGATCTGGACGACACAGCGAGTGTAGAACATGTTGCAAAAGCTGCGGAACAGGGCGCAAATAAGAAACGGAAACGCGAGGCAGAGCAATCTACACCTTCGGGCAAAGAGCGGCGTCGCTCTTCAAGACTCACAAAGACGCCTTCTGTCGCAGATATCGAGGGAGGTCGTGCTACTCGGTCTAAGAGACCGATGACCGTGTCACAGGAGGTCGAATCATCCCCTGCCGAATCGGCGCCGAAGCGACGGAAAACGGAGTCTAAGAGTGATATGACTACCACGAGCAAGCCCGCCGAGCAAGCAGCTAGTACTGATAGCGGGAAGACCAAGGCCATGGATACCCAAGACAGCTCTCAAAAACGCAGATCCTCTCGTCTCAGCGGACAGGCGGCGCCAGCCATTCCTGAGGAGAGCCCGCTTCCGAAGAAGTCACCACGACCTAGTCGTTCTCGCAAGTCGACTAAGGACAAGGCCAAAGACAGCATACCAGAAGAGCCTCAACTTAGAGAAGATATCGAGACCCATCACGATGAGACTCCTACTAGAGATGCGGTGGACCAACCTGTCAAGGATGAAAGGGAATCCAAGATCACTGTTGAAGATAAACCAACTGAGCAACTCCCAGAACCGGATAGCTCAGTGCAGCCTCCAACAGAAGCTCAGGTTGACGAACCGATGGATGAGCCGGTGCCCGAGACCCAGCAAACGGCTCCTGATGACGTGCAAATGGAAGACGCGCCCACAGTAACCGAACCCATCCCTGAGAAGGAGGCGCCATCTGAAGAGAAAGATTTGGAGACGACGGAGAAGAAGACGCGAGCAGTATCCCGCACAACGCAGACCGAAAGCCAGAAGGAGCCAGAGATCACAGAGGCAGAAATTACAGACTCCCTCCGCAAAGTCTTGAGCGATGTGAAACTGGCCAAGTTGGATCGAAACTCGCTGAAGGAAATTGACGATTTACTATTTGATATCCGGGTGGAAACGCATGAGGCATTGAGGAGAAACACCGGTTGAATGGATTTTGCATAGCGATGGCGTTGTACTTTTGTCTATATCCTAGTATCAATATCTTATACTCCATGCTTTTTTCTTTTTTTGTCTGTCTGACTGTTTTATTTTGTGACCATGGCCATCAAAAGAAGTCTCATTTGTTTTATGATCCTGTGCTTGATTTGCCATTATTCTTTCGGTCTTATGTTCTATTATAAGATGGACGATGCGGAAGCTGAATGTACTCATCACGCTTTTAAGACTGGAGAATGCAACTGTAATACCAGCATACCATAGACCTATATTTTGATCCCGATCACTAGTCACTACTTATTCCTAAGGTAGTTCAAGATGATTAATCCGCGGAATCCTCGGCCGCTGACAGGAGGTGTCCGTCATCTCATCCTCACTGCCACACACCCATCCTTTCTCCCCTCATCCAGGAGGCTTACTACTACTTACCAACCGACCAACCATGCTTATCCTCCGGGGCGTCAGTTGCGCCCCAAACCTCCCAGGGGTCCCCTAAAACCCGAGCACATCAGTCAGCTAAATACTAACTGACCTACTTCATCCATCCATCAGAAGTGAGTCTCTATCCTCAACATGACCACACTAATGACCCAACCCTGAATCAAAGACTCAGAGTCGTCAGTCAGACTGGCGTCATGGTCCCGAAGAAACGAGGAAAAGAGACCCGATAGCAAGCAGTGGTGTATTCACTAACTAACTAACCTTCTCAACACTTTGATTTTTGTTTTCTTATCGTGGGGTCTATGACTGCGCTATAGTGTACTCAGCTCTCACTTTACCTGGATTATACTATCTATCTTGATTGAGTTAGATAGACAGGTAGTTTGTAACGTGAGTATACCCCTACCTACCTACCCTATTTATACAATATCTCACCTACTAACAAAGAAGAAGACCATCGCAACACCACTACATCATGGTCCAAGTATCCTCACTAGCATTAGTAGGCTATCTCGCTCCAGTGCTCGTTACGTTTCTGCTCTTCATAACATGGTATGTATGTCTTTCCACCCTTTATTAGGGGTATATATATACCCACAAATCCCCCTCCATGCAATCAAAGAAAGAACATGGAATTAAATCAAGATAAACTACAGGCTCATCCTCGGCACCCGCCGTCGCCGTCGCCGTCGTCGTCACCTCTACGGCTCTACATACCCCTACTCGGACGCCGAAATGGCGGCGGCGGCGGGGGGACAACGTAATCCCCGGATGGTGATCTCACAGCAGCTCATCGAGGTACTTTATCCGCAGGTGAAGTACAAGTACTGGTTGGCTGGGAAGCAAAATGAGCAGCAGCAGCAGGAGGATCTACCATCGGGTGCGATAGCACAAGTGAGATCCACGCCCGGGGATAATACTTCCGGTGAATCACCAGTGAACACCAACATCAACGATAGCCAAGAAAGAGACAAAGACACAGAAGATGCAGATACAAGCGGAGACAACCACCGCACGTGCGCAATATGCATAGACCAGTTCGCGGATGACGACGACATCCGATCGCTGCCGTGTCGACATATCTTCCATACGGTGTGTCTGGATCCGTGGGTTACGAAGAAGAATGCGTTTTGTCCACTGTGTAAGAGGGCTTTGTGTGGGGTGAAGAAGGGGGATAGTGGAAGTGGAGGGGATAGGAGGAGTTGGCCTTGGAGGAGAGGATCGCAGAGGGCGAGTGCGAGGGTGGTTTCAGTTTCGGTGCCCGAGGCGGCGGTTGTTAGAGGGTCGGTTTAGTTCATATGTTGCTTTGGGCAAGTTGGGGTGGTGAGTAGCTCTATCTGGAGATGATTGGGGAAAGGGCAGGTCTTGGAGAGGACATCATACAATTCTAAACGTACGCGGAGTACAATACTAGGGTAAAATTCTATTTCAATCTCAGCTGAGGCATCCATCGTCACTGCATGATTATTCACGTAAAGTTAAACTTATCCTATTATCCCAGTTACAACCGGGGCCGGATAGTCTGTCCACCTTCCCAAGATTCACCCGCCTCCAGGGTCTGCCAGCCAGCAACGGAACCGGCCTCGACACAAAGCATGTTCTTGTATGCCTCGTCAGGCCCAAAGTCCGCCATACCCTTGGCCTTCTCGATCCAGGGGTTCCAAACGACCACATCCGTCAACGCCTCTCGTGTGATCGAGAACAGAGGCTGATCATCCGACGCCGTGGACACGATAATCGGCACCTTCGGATCCAATGCCTTGTACACCCGGTCCGTTTCCTTGTTAATCTCCACTGCCTCCGAGGTCTCCGTGATAGCTGCACCGCCCTGTGTCTTGTCCAAGTATTCTTTTTGCTGGAGGTTCTTGACCCGGACGTTCGTGATGTCCTACATGCCTGGTTAGCCTGACCCTAGCCCAGAAATAGGCTAATGACATACCTCAACGCTCAAATACGTATGCATCAACACCTGGAAATCGAAATTCTGCTCGCCCTGGTTCTGCACCTGCAGAGAAGTCTCCAAGCTCCCCTTTGTCAGAGTCACGCTATACACCAGTCCAAACTTGTACGGCCAGGCCTTCTGGAACTCTTCGCTCAGCATGGGATGCGACAGTCCAAAGTCCAACTTCACGGCGTCTTCGCCTTCTTTCCGGTCACGGCCGAAGGCTTCGGAGGAGGATTTGCCAAGGAATTCCCAGTTCGAGTTCCGAGCGAAGCCGTGTTGGGGAAGGGCAGAGGTGGCGTGGTTGGAGGGAGGAGGACCAAAGACCTGATTTGATGAGAGAAGGAGTTAGTTGGTTTGCCTTTCAATGGATACTTGAAGGGAGGTGAGATATAGAGAGCAAGCTGGCTGTTCAGTGGTGATCAGCTGAAGAGGACATACCGGGAATACGACAGGAATGCCACCCCGGATAGGCTTGGAACCATCTAGATTGGCCTTCTCGCTCACGAAGAGCTGTTCCTTGCCATTGGCAAGCTTCCAGGAGGTGACGGTGGCTCCATAGAGATAAACAGTGACGGACTCGCCAGTGGGGAGGGTAGCTTCAACGGTGTTGTCGCGGAGGGAGATGGTGGGTTGGGGAAGAGAGGCACCGACGCCGATGGCGGCAGGCTTGTTAGAGCGATCCATGATGGTGGTTGAAAGTTAAAATGAAGGTATTCAAGGTGGAAGGGAGAAGGGGAAAGACCAGCAAAGACGGAGGATGGATGCGGGGAGGCCGGAGTCAACTGAACCGGCGGGGCGGCGGGGCATTGGCGTCATTCGTTCCTCGCCGTTTCAGTTTACGAGCACAACTCATCCCCTTCCACTTCTTATCTTCCTATTGTCGAGGTGCATGTTTGATAGCATCTGATGTGTCTCGACAATAGTTTGAGTCTTCCAACTCTTCAGGATTCTTTTGTAGTCCCAATTCAGCTGGTCCATGCAATGACATCACATGTTTGCTTTCCGTCAGGGTCCAAAGTCAATGCTAAGCTCGATCCAGGGACTTGAGAAAGTGCAGATCTATAAGGGTAGCACTGATATTCAACAATAGAGACACCGAGGAAGCTATGTTATGTATGAGGCTATCCTAACCTCTATGTTACTTGCAGTCCAGACTTCGTCTTTTCATGATGGGTAGCACCTAGGACCCTGCCCTATCAGCTGTCCACCGTTTCAGCCACTTCTTTGAATCATCAGCAACAATAGGTTAAAGAGCCAGTCAGTACTCGGTCTATTATGACCCATACTTTCCTAAACATCAATACTTATCATCATATCACCATTGCACCCAAGTGCGTAAGCAAAATGGAAGCAAGCCTATCCAACACTATCTCTTCTCATGTTTTCCTCCTTGTGTCCATCTTATGATTACTACCATTCTGTCGAATGACGATGGACTTATACATAAGATTTATTTGCTATACGGACATTCGCCACATAAAAATAGCAGTACTACTAGTGCTTTTCACGAATGACCCAACGAAATATTAAACCTGAATTGAACCCATCATGTAGGACCAAATCGCAGATTAGGGACACCTAACGACATACAATAAAAAGATGTCTTCTCACTATGAACCTAACTATTACTGTTTAACTGCAGGCTATAGTACTAATGATGACACGGTGCTCTTATTCTATGGCCTCTTGTCGGTGCTGAACCCTTCGGGGGTGTTAGCGCAACATAGACAGATCATTACTGTTCTAGAAAATGAGAGCAGAAAGTGCGACCTCACTATCTGAACTAATCATTCGACTAAGAATACTCCCATCATAAAATTTGATATGAAAATATGGTACCCTGAACACACAAAGAAAGAATACCTATGTAGCCACCAAGTCAAAAAAAAAGTACGATATTCGCCACCATACCCAACAAGGCAACCCAACCTACCCTACTACCAACAGCACCGACAATCCAGTCAGTCAGCCAGCCAACACTCCCAATCCCACACCCTCAATCCACACAAATCAAACCCTTCCCCCACTCCAGCAGAGGAGAAAAAAAAATTCATTTCAAACCCTTCTTACCAATAGCCCCATCACCCAGAGCTCCACTTTCCACCCTAAAAAGTTCCAAAACATGGTTCCCGAGCTGTCAAAAGAGCGAAAACGACCAACCAGCACCCACCATATAGGACTAAAATTGAGTGGGTATTCTAACAACCGGCGCCAATCGTCTAGTGGTTAGGATGCAACCTTCCCAATCTGACATTGGATCAGGTTGCGACGCGAGTTCGAATCTCGCTTGGCGCAGTTTTTTACTTGTCTCTTTTTTTTCTTTTCTGGCTATCATGGTAGATGATAGGTGAGAGAAAGGATTTGAGGTTTTTTATTTTTGCTATTGTTGTTTGGATATCATATGACTGGCCTGTCTTTGAATTAACCGGATTGGTTTTTTGGTTCTGCTATAGCTTGTGGTAATGCGTCTTTTGCCAGATACCATGTTTGAGATACACTCAAATGGGTCTCTCTATCTATCATACAGAAATGTCGTGTGCAGTGTGCATATTTCATGCCACAGATTCTCTTAGACAATTTTGCGACTTTCTTATACAGACCAATAATCATGCCTGGGTGATGTTCAGCCCTTCTGTGTCCGAGCGAGTTTCCCAACATCGTGCATCGATTGTAGACACTACTATACACTGTGTCGAGCATACATCAAAGCCCATCCAGTCTTACACACGTCTACTACTAGTACCCTCCTCTCTATCTCCCTCCCCCAACTCATCACCAACCCTAAACGGATTCCTCTTTACCAAAACCGCCGCCACAAATACACTCCCCGCCAACGCAACTGCCAACAAGAACGTCCCCCTAACCGCAACATCGTATGCCCCTATCACCGCCTCCAAGTACTTCCCAGGCAACTTACCCTCCAAGCTCGTCGCACCCAAATGCATCACCATCACCGGATCCAACCCGGGCACACTCTCCGCTAAATCTCCCGTCAGGCGGTTCAAGAATATCGCCTGCGCAACACTGATGAACACCGCTTCTCCGATGTCCTGCGAAAAGGTCATCAGGGCCATGCCTATGGAGATGTCCTTCAACGGGAGGATAGCCTGCACGGCGATGAAGGGCACGCCGACGGCGCTGCCGGAGCCGAGGCCTAGGAGAATGAGCGATGGGATCCAGAGTTTGGCGGGTGTGGTTGGGGTGAAGGTGGTCATGAGGGCAATCCCGGCGATGACGAGGAGGGAGGCGGGGAGGAGGATCGGGGTGTAGGTGCGCGTGCGGGAGATGAGCCAACCGCCGGTGATGGCGCTGATGAGGACGGAGATGACTAGGGGGAGGGTGTTGAGGCCGCTTTGGAGGGGGGTGGCGTTGCGGACGGTTTGGAACCAGATTGAGAGCTGGGGTTGGTTAGTTTGTGACTAGAGGGGAGGGAGGAGAATGGAGAGTGTACGTAGTATTGGACTATGGCGCGGCAGGCTGAGAGACATAGGCTGAAGGCCGCGCCGGTTATAATGATGCGTTTACGGAGGACGCGCGGTGGGAGCATGGCGGTATCTTGTTTGCGGTGCTGGAGGAGACAGAAGCCCGTGAAGATGATGGGTGAGAGGACGAGAAGGGCGATGATTCGTCCGTTGGTCCAGCTGTAGGTATCGCCGCCCCATTGGAGCGCGAGGAGGAGGCATAGTACTGCGGGTGCGAAGAGGAAGAATCCGAGTAGGTCCAGCTCGCGGAGTTTCTGGATATGCGTTTTTGAGCCCCTGGGGGTGATGGTCGGGAGCTTGAGAAGCAGAAGCACGGCGGATGGTAGCGCTGCAGCGGGCAGATTGATGTAGAAACACCATCGCCAGGATAGGTCGGATGTGAGTATGCCTCCAAGGATAGGGGCTATAGCGATGGCGGTGTATTCGCTGGCGCTGATAAGGCCGACAAACGTCGGTCGTCTTCGTAGGGGCGTAGAAATTGCAATTATGCTGGATGGTTGTTAGTTTGCAGACATGCCTCTAGGTACTGTAGTGCTTACACCATGCAGCCTTGACTGATCCCAGAGAAACCCAAGCCGGTTATGGCCCTTCCGATGATGAAGATGAATGAACTCGGCGCCAGGCCCGAGAGAAGAATGCCACCCTCGAACAGCAGGAGATTGACGAGAAAGACCCATTTGACCGGGTAGTTGTCATATAGCTTTCCCTGGGAAAGCTGCGACATGCAGGAGGTAAGTCGACTTGGACGCCGTTAGCAGGGATATACAGGGTTACTGATCTGTAGGATAGACTCACAAAGCAGCATCATACCAACCAACATCAGCCACTGACCCGAACTCGTCGGTTATACGCGGAACAGCAGTGGTTAGGATCGTGGCATCCTAATATGACGTTAACCAACGCACGGAGATTTGCGAACATTAGCCCTTACCAGTCCAACCAGAAAGACA